AGCATATAAAGCTGGGGGAAGAAGAAGGAAGGGAGGTATGTTCAGAGCGATGGCGTTTGTCTTCCCAAGTAACTGTTATGTGTGATGGAGCCCTGCTTTCCTGGAGATGGCTGAACACCTGCCTGCCGGTGGGAAGTAGTGAACGAATTCCTCTTTTTGCTTTGCTTGTGTGCACGGCTTTTGCTTTCCCTATGAAACTGTCTTTATCTCAACCCACGAGTCTTCTCACTTTTACTCTTCCAATTCTCTCCCCCATCCCACCGGGGCGGAGTGAGTGAGCAGCTGCGTGGGGCTGAGTTGCTGGTTGGGGTGAAACCACGACATATCTTCACGGAGGGGGAGGAAGGTGTGCACAAGCACAGGGTGCTGGTTTGAATAGAGAAAGTGCAGTAAGATGGGTTAAGGTATCAGCTTGCGAAGGTGGGTACAGCAGAATGTATGTGCATATAGCTGTGCACCAAGACAGGAGCAGCTGCCTATCCACAGGTGGCACAGCTGCACACTGGTTTCACTACCGCCCGAGCAGGTGTGCAAGCGAACTTTGCCAGTTGCCACCGAAAGAGTTTGGATATGCAATTCCCATCAAGTTGGTGGGAACTTGACACCTGTAAGCCTCAGCCAACTTTGCTATTCTCAGCCACTGTTTGCAAACTTACCGCTGAGAAACCTCTTGCACAGAGAACATCCAAGTGCATTAGAACAAGTTTTCAGTTCTTAAAATCCATCTGGCTGACTTAAAAAGAGCCAAATGTCATATTGTGCTATAATTCTTCCACGAGTCTAAGGAACAGTAAAGGAAGGGGTGGGTGGGGGTGTGTGTGTGTATACATATACATATGTACACATATGTGTGTGTATATACAATATTTCCCTCCCACATAATTAATAACAACAGCTTGCATATAAAGATAATATGACCTGAAAGAATATAGGACAATAGTATTTAATATACATAAGGAAAAACATTTGAAAAGCTCTGCATGATGCTAAATGCCATGCGGAAACTTGCAGATGATTATCCTTTGAGCTAAAACTTACCATGTACACTTAGCTTCACTGACTGAGTCACATTCCCAGCAATGTTTGTGGCTACACAGATATACATTCCACTGTCTGAAACTTGTGTCTCACTGATCTTCATTGACCCTGAGGGTAGGAAAGTGTGTCTGGAAAAATAAGAAGCAGATACACTGTATAAACATGTATTGCAAGGTGAATAACCTCTACTTACACATTGCTAATGATTGCTAGGAGCTAAAATAACACTATTCTACAGGGCACACTGAGCTGTGCCATATTACTAAACTATGACTTACATTTACTCATTTTTCTAACTTTTTACTGAGCCACTACATTCAGAATACACAGCAAATATCTAAAATATAAGATCCAAATTACAAAATTTGTTTCTAGCTACTTAGAGGGCATATTAAAATCTGTCTTGCTTCTAGAAATGAAAAAAACAAAAACAAAAAAAAACAACTAAACAAAAAAAAACCCACAAACCAAAAACCAACAGGTAGAGAAATGGAGCTCTTCAACATCCTGTCAAAAATTTTTGCTCAGCCCAGGTCAGTAGGGTCAGAAATTTAAATAACTTTTGATACTACTTCATCCTGGCAAAAAAAGATGTTACGTTAATTCAAGATGGAAGTGGGCATTCTGAAGAGTATTCTGATTGAAAACTGACAGTCTGGTGTTTATAGAAATTGTCATTATTCATCAGTAAATAGTTAACTACATAGCATTAATTTTTACTACAGTTCTGGTCACAGGCCTGTAACATTACAAGATACATTGGCCAGTTAAGCCAAAATCTTCTTATGTAGAAGTCAAAAGTAATAGAGATAGGGAAAATAAATGAGGAGAGAAGAAAAAAATGACAGCTAAGAATTGACAAGAAGAAATTCAATTCTAGCACTCAAGGTTATATACAGAATTTAGTCAAAGTTGGTGGGAATTGGTGGTATCATCTGTCTTCCTTTCTCTGGCACTAATTGGGACAATGTTATCATATGGGCATAAACGGTGAATTTTGGGATTGCGGCGGCCCAGAGAGATGAATGAAAAGAAAGTGAAGTGTATTTCCTCCAGGCCACCCAAACCTGTCCGGTATTATGATTCCTGCTCTGCTGCCCGTATCTTTCCAAACCTTTTTTTTTTTTTTTTAAAATAACCCCAAAAGATAGATTGCTGGGGCAACTTATCTTCCTTTATTTTGTCCACTTACTGTATTTGCTTTCTGATAAAAGTTCCTTTATTGCTGATTTCACTCTTCTTTTGTTTACTGGTCATATTTCTAACATCATGTTTGGGTGGTCTCAAAGAATTTTGTTTGGACTAACTCTTTAACTTTTGCTGACATCTGTAAACAATTTTATGGAATGGGCTGAGCTGGACTTCTGCTACTCTGGACAACTTGGATCTCTCCACAACAGCCACGAGCAAGTAGCCTAATGTCTCCTGAGGTAAAATGAGGACAAGTAAGGGACCAAGAATGCGGATTCGTTAGTGCATGCAACGTGCTCACAGGACAGAGCAGAAAATTCCACACAGATTACTAACAACAAATCGACTCCCTGTGCACAAGCCTCCTTCAAATATGCTGGCCAAGTATAGTTGCTGAGGCTGTTGCAGACTTGCTGGAATGGGTGGCTCTGAGGTGCTGGGAAAGAGGCTCGCCTTCAGGTCTCTACAATTCCTTACTTCAGCTCAGGCACTGGCTGATTCCTTCCACTTGGATCAGTGAGAGACACTAGACAACGGGCACAGCGATCGCTACAGTGTGCATTTGGCCAGCGTTACCATTTCCTGATTTATGAACACAACTGTAGCCTGTACCCCCTTCTGAGGTATCTTGAAGACTAGAAAGCACAAGCACGCACCAAGGCAGTACCTGGCACTTCAACTGGGAACATACAGAGAATAATCACCTACTCGTTTCCTCTCTTATTTTGTACCATGCTAAAATAACAAGCAAGAACTCCGACATTGTGGCCCACGCTGTATACAAGACAGTCCCCAACTCTTCATTCTCTAAGGCTGTCAACTCAACATTTTTATGAGCATTTAGCTATGTTTTCACATGTTCAAGAATATCTGGAGAGTTTTTGGATCCAAAACACAGCGAGCAATGAGCCCTTGTAAGCACTCCCAAACATTTATCATCATCTGTATTCTACTGGCAGCCCAGACTTCATATGAATAACAGACAATGCTCCCCTGAGCATAAATATGAAGTGCTTAAGAAAAGAAAAACAGTTTTTAAACATTTATAATCAGGCACAGATTATGTAGGTCTCTGGGCACCACCGCAGTACAAATATAATAGGATCTCTTTCGTCTTGGCCTCCTGAGACTGCGTATAAACACACACTGGAATGGAAGCTGTACAATGATGCATGGTCTTAATATCCTTTGGAAAGAGACATAACGCTTGGTTTGGGAAAGAGCGTTTCAAGACCTAGTAAAACAGGGTCCTTATGCAGGACAACTTAATACCTTCTGATTGACCCTGTGGCAATTAGAAACTATATACCCTTCCAAAATCCTGAAAGCTTAGACGCAATTTCACTTTTCTTTTGTTTTCATCAAACATTGTTACCTTGGAGAGAATGGAGATATGAGCTGCATTTCTTTGGCCCAGGTAATTATGGGGGGTGGCAAGCTCTTTACTTCACATGGAAGTGTGACATCTTCCCCTGCAATTACTGAGATCTCTATGGGTTTATCATATGCATTTCCTTGCTGGTCTCCAGGCCTGGATACTCTAGGTTTCACTATAACATGGAACATGTTAAGAAGCTGCAATGAATATACGTGTTTGTACAAATGTAACACCATACAATTTTATTTCAGATTAAACATCTATTTTTTTATCAGGTATGTAACATTACAATCCTATTTTTAATGACATGTCTGCAATAGACTTAAATCACTGCAATGCCGATGTACAGTGCCTGTACCTCAGACACTGGCTGATGCCTACATGCAATACCACAAATACCAGCAAGACTGCACTATCTACCCAAAAAGCTGGATACCAACAGATATATGTAGTTCATGCATATGCTGAGCTCTGTATTGCACAGGTAATTTGCAACCAATACCTGAACTATGTTACGCTACAGCACCAATACCTACAAGCCATAAAAACTTTGCAAAGCAAGCCTACACCTAAATCAAATTTTTTATAACATTGGGAGACTGTAGGAAGCTTTGGGACCAATGGGATTAATGGATCTTCATTCTTCTATCAGCAGGGACTTCTATTCCTATACAGGTACTTCCTATTCATTTCCATGAAATTACAATCAGCCCAAGATCCTAGTCCATGAACTCAAGGTAACAGGTATCAGGAGGTTTTCAGAGAATCATAACAGCTGAAGGATAGGCCTTTCAGTATCAGCCATTTGTAAAATTGCCTACTATGTGGATCCAGTGATCTAGGACAAAGTCAAAAGCACTAATTAGAGATTAGTTTAAATCCCATTTTCACTGCAGGTGAAATTTCACCTAGTTCACAATCCACCTAAGTGGGTTTTGCCGTCTAAAGTAGAATGCAATGAGGGGAGAGACACAACGACACTAGATTCTATGATTCTATTATTTGATTTTAGCTCATACATACCATAAACAGTCAGCTGGACTTTCCGTGTAGCATAACCAGCAGCATTTGTTGCAGTGCACATGTATTCCCCAGTCTCTTCACCCGTTGGTGAAAGTACATACAGACTTCCATCAGACCCTGCAGAAAATTTCACATTGCTAGAAAGAATTACTTCTCCTTTCTGTGGAAAAAAGAGAAAAAAAAGTCCACAGTGCCTGGATCTTCTAAAATAAAAAAATTACAATTATTTAATTCAATAAAAGCTAAAGCTTACAGAGATAGAATAAAATCTAACAAAAATATAAAAATGTTAGTTCCTGTAGATCTCCCCTAACTTACCCCACTGCTATCCATTCATATGAAAATGCTGTATTTTTAATGTAACACTGGGTCAGATTTTTCACTGTGAAATATGCTGCATGCTCTTTAATGCAGTTCTGTAGACCAAACGATTTGTAGGCAGTCTGACTAAACTAAGCAATATTGTAATTTACATTACAGTACTGCTTCTATTGTTTATGGCTGAGATGGACAAAATATTTTGAATTAACTGAGAAGCCTGGCCCCAAAACTCCATCCATACAAATTAACTAACTTCAACTAACTTTTCACACTCCTTCAGTGTCACTGTCTAAGCAGTAACAACAGCAGAAGCACAGGGATTCTTATGCAGAAAACTTGATACTTTTTACAGACCCCAATTTAAAAAAAATTCAAGATTTCAACTGAGTTAGTTTTGACATTGATTTCTGATGTCAAAACATCTTGTCAAGGACATGACTGAAAAGTGACAGATGGTTAACCCCAGAATGTCATTATTAGACACACATTCCTCAGAGGAAAAAGTCGTCTTAATAGTAAGGCTCCGAAACAAAAATAAACTTTCAATCTGTGGCAGGTTGCCTAATCTCAAATTATCAACTCACAACAGGAATATGAACAATTTCCAAAGTGTTAAAAACAAAGATACAGCAATAACCAAAGCCCTTCCAAAGAATAGAACATTGATCTATGGCTGGACCATGGCCAGAAAGCACTGCTCTGAGAAATAAAAGCAGATATGAATAAATAGAGGTTTCCAGGTCCCTCACAACTCAGGCTTTTGGCCATGTTTCCTGCATATAGTTTTTATGACAACTAAATATGATGTGTTCAATTAATCTTTCACCATGAACAGCCCAAAGATGAGAAATTACCTTGGACCAGACAATAGATGGCTTAGGAACTCCACTTGCTTTGCATGGTAATGTTACTGGAATTCCTTCAATGGTGCTAAATATCTGCTGTCCATGCTGAATAACAGGCAGAACTAAAAATAAATGCAAATATTAAACACATGCAGAAGACAGATTTCAAACCATGGCACAACTCTTAGAATAAAATCCTTATATTCAATTACTACTTCATACAGGCAGCAGGGAATTTGGGAATTTTCAGCCTCTTCTCTGAACCCTAATATTGACAATGACCAGCCACGTTCTCCTCCACTCTTCCGTCTTTCATGACAGAATAAATACCTGTTCATTACAAACCATGTCAGCCATAGGCTGATCATAGGATTAGGTACATATAGTTTTAGACTAACTCTAGGTATTTCACATAGCTGATTGCAGTCATTTCAGAAAGTCTTTATCACAATATCTTCTGACAATATTTTAGGCCAGGCTTCCCGAAACGATACTGTACATGATTCAATCTATACAGTACCTTTCATAAGAATGGGTTCAGCATTTTTGGTGCTGAATCAATTTCCATCAATGGACAACATTTTGAACAGAGCAGATATGAGAGTGAAGAACTGATCACACTCCAATCTTATTTAATATTTGTTATAAATGCTACAAAGTTGTTCTAACTGCAGTGATAGTTTCTGCAGGGACTGACTGTTAGATGAACTTGAATAAAAATTCCAGATCACTTCACAAAGTCAGTAACAAGAGATAACAAGAACCCCAGCTCCCCTACTTAACTGAGCTGGTTTTGAATTAACAATAGAAAAAAGAATATCAGATTTAAGGCTGTAATAGCAAAAACTAGATCGTTCTAAAAACATACAAATGTATTCCCTTCTGTTCTCAAGTTCTGAAATATTCCAAAAACTTGTGTTGCCGTGGAAGACCTTATCAGACACTAAGTACTTGCCTGTATTAAAAAATAATAGCTATTCTTAACATAAAAGGACGTTCCAGCATCTTCATTGAAGCTTAAAATAAATCTCCCATGATTAATTTAACACATGAGAAAGTTTCAGGCTGTAAACCATGAAGCGGCTGTGACCCCACACAGAGTTAATACAAGCATGAAATACAGATGGGTTACCACAATGCTAACGCTTTGTCTTGCTGTCAGTGTAATTTTGGTAATTTTTAATTAAAGAAAAAAAAAGGGGGGGGGGGGGACACCAAACCAAAAAAACAAACACATTTTGCAAAACTCATAATTCATTTTAATTCTAATTCTCCCATGAGTTGTGCTTCCTTATATCAGTTATGAAACCCCCAAACAGCGCTTTTTGTGGTTTTCCAGTAAACTTCCACTTGCATCTGTTTTGTTAATAAAGCTAGAGATGAAGACTGCACAGCCCAACTTTTGTAGATGTTTAAAAATGAGGATCTTACATGATCTTGAAATGGTGTTATTTTTGTTTTATTTTAAAAACAGTCTCAATCGTTCAGTTCTTTCCTGTGCAGTGGATCCAATTTCCCACCACGTCACTTTACAAAGTAACATCATTACAAAAGAGGAAATTTGAGAAATTAGTAAAACTGTAACAAAAAAAGCTCTAGTGAGAGCTCCAGTTAGTTAGTTAGAAATGCACTCGCATCCTGCATTCAGCACAAAAGCAATAAGACAGTGTTCCTTACCATACACATTAACAGTAGTAGTTTTGTTGCTTGTCCCAGCAACATTACTTGCCATGCAGGTATAATCGCCGCCATCCTGCAGCCGAACTCTTTCAAGGTGCAGGCTTCCATCACTGCGAACATTAATGTAGGGATTGGGAACGAGCTGCCAAGAGAGTGATGTAATGTTTTACTAAAGAAAATACTTGTTGATAATATTTACTTTGGGATGCAGCGTGGTTTTACTTGATTATTCCACATTCTTAAAAATTGTATGTTCCCGGAGAATTTTACTAGAGCTTTTCCTACCTTCCATCTTTCATAAAAAGCTAATTTTAAATAAGAATTTTGGCAGCACCTCGTATTTACTGCTAGAGTGAGATTAAGATGTGCAACGGCAACTCTGCTCTGCCACAGCACATACAGAACTGCCACTCATGCTTATAATCGTGCACTGAAGCAAAAACAAACTTAGCTGAATTATTTTACTGTATTTTTTTATTGGTTATTCCAGTAACCCAATTTGATCATAAATCAGCTCTCCATGACTGCAATGACTTGTTGTTCTTCCACAAACAGATCCGTTTTTTTTTTACAGTTACCAAAACCTTCTAACTTGCCATATCCATCAAGTAGAAGAGATCAGCTCTGAAGCATACCATTGTGAAAGATATGGAAAGTTACAACTTTAACAAAAGAAGAGTCATTTTTTAAAAGTTATATACCCCACAGCAACAACAGAAAAAAAAAAAAACATCAATGAGCTCAGCAACACAGACTTGCCTTACAAAAAGGTTGTTAGAATGCAAAACTTTTCCAGTCATGCTATGCTCAGAAAAAGCTGCATTCTTGTCTAAACATAACTTACTCCAACACTTTCCTTGGAGTGTAGCTTTTGCCGCGAGCTTACAATTACAGGAAACTAGCACTACTACACAGAGGAATTAGCACCTCAACAAGGAGGATCCTGCCAGTGTTTCTGACAGAAGTCACAGCCTGTGCTACTTGCACTTACACAGTCTAAAGAAAAGTCTAATGATTCCCAGTAATTCAAAAACTGAGCAGAGAACTCTAGCAAGCAAACGATCAAGTAGTGCCAGGGTTCTGCCTGGTGACAATAAATAAAAAAAATTGCTATCATTTTTTAATTACAGCTGTGGAGAAAGGGCTTTAGGGAGAAATTAGCAAGCAAGATAAAAAGCAGGGCTTCATAGGTATGTTAAAAGTCCGTAATTTGGCTACAACTAAAGAAATGAAACTTCACTCAGACAACTGACCTAGGCGTGGTGTCTACACCACCTTTCTGTCTGCAGGAGTCATAAATTAGCAATGGTATGCTCTCAAGGGGGAAAGAAAACATACATACTTTCATGCTCTGTGCAGTGTACCACTATGAAAGGAGTACATGGTACAGGGCTGCTGGCATTTATCTCATCCCATCAGCAACATTAAAAGTCATGATGTTAAAAAACCCTAGATCTACAGAAATTTGTTTTTAAAAAATAGGGAAAAAGAAATGCTTTTCAGTTACCAGGATTTAAATTCCAGCACTTTTGTCTTTCTGGTGGGATATTCCACTAGCATTCCTATATTCAGAGCCTAAGGCTGAAATTCAGGAGCTAAAGAGAATGCATAAAACTGCTTTGAAAGTAAGTGAAGTAGAAGATAAAAGGACAATTTACAAATACTTTGGTTCTAAGTTCTTTTCTAGACCTTCACATCCCCCACTACCATCTCCTACTCCCTGATCTCCCTTCAGAGTCAGAAATTTCCTAGCGTGGGCAGTGATCAGAGTGAGGCATAACTGTCAGGATGCCACACTTCACTTCCACTTTCATATTTTGAACAGTAATAAACTATCGTTTCTCGTGGGAAGAGCTGTTCTCTGAATGACAGCGCCTGCAGAAGCTCAGAAGCTACAACTGCCTTACAGATACAGCCAACTGGCTTCCCCTGAGGAGGCAAGCAGCTCCTGCTGAGCTGTGGTTGTCTGCTGTAATTCACCTCGATGACACTGGATCCTTGTTTCCCGTGAGCCAGGCCAATCTCGTGAAGCATCTTCCTTTGTAAGCATAAAATCTATCAGTATATTTGTACATCAACTTTTGTAAATTAAACCAAGTTGTTATCGTGACTTGAAATGTCAGTTGTAGATTTTTGCTGCCAATAAATCTTACAGGAAACAAAACAGTCTTACCACCACACTGTTTTTAATCCACCTCCGGTCTGGAATAGGGTTTCCAGCAAGCAATACACATGGCAAAGTGAGCTGCTGCCCCTCAATTACATTGGCTGTAGCTGGACTTACTCCAATCAAAGGTTTAACTTGAACAAAAGAAAGAATTAGAAGAAATTATTAGGAATTTTTATATATTCATGTAAAGTATTACATGTGAATTTTTATTATTAGTCCTGTCATTAATGCTACTTGCAGCACTTCAGACAAAGATCTCCTCGTGCAAGTACTATACAAATATAGAGCAAGAAACATTTCCTACATGATTTTACTATATTTTTTCCTATATGTTTTAAATAGAAAGGAAAAAAAAGGGGTAAAAAAAAAAATGCAGCCATTAACAAACAGCATCAAAGTTCCAACATACTTAATTTTAAGACAAAAAAATAGCAGATGGGGTTCTGGTATCTGAAACGTCAACGATGCAGACAGGAAAAAAAAAAAAAGAAACAAATGATGGTGTGGGGTAGCATAAGAGAGAAAAGGAGGCTGGAGCAATACACGTACAATGATCCTAAGACTAAGGAATGGCAGCAAATGGAAGACACTGTCCAACTGAAATTGGATCCAATCCAGCATTTCCCTGAAAACTCATGTTCCCCTGGATACCAGGTTGATATATCATTTTTCCTTACTTGGGCAAAATACTGAAGAACAAAAGTAGCAGGTTTGGTAAGGACAAAAAATAAGTGGTAATTGCCTTTGGGCATAAAATTTTAAAGCATTAGAATAGAGGTCAACAGGCCAGCAGAAAATTCTGCATGCTCTGTAAAGAGCCAACAGAAAGCACTGCTGTGCACATGCTTTGTAAATTAATTTTAAATAATGGGGATTAAATACCACTTTTAAATAGGTAAAAACATGTTGTCTATCAAATACTACTAGCATTACAGATTCCCACCACATGTTTTAAGTTAACAAATGGTTTCTTTGATAGCAGATGGACTCCATTCTTATCCTCCCGCAAATGTATACATTCCATAGCATTCTTTTTCCTTTTATTGCCAATTGTCCAACTGAGATAATAAACAACTCCTTAATAGCACAGCTATTGTCAAAGCTAGACATTTACTGTCTTCATGGATCACTAAGATTCCTTCCCAGTTATATCAACACACTGACCTAAGCAAGCTCATTGCTGCTTTTTTTTTTTAAAAAAAGATGAATTAAATGGTAGAAACCCCACCATTAGCATTCACCATTATGGTGATTTTTCATTCCTTAATAAATTTACTTAGGAATAAGAAACAGAAGACAGGATAAATCACTTTTTTAAGGTCCACGTTACAAAGTGTAGATGGAACTAATTCAAATTAATGTAGCCAGAGAAAAGACAATGTTCTAACATGCTAAATTCACTGAAATAAATTACAATATTCCATGCAAATGTCTTCTGATTCAGTCTGTGTGGGTGACTACATATGTGTAAATATAGCTATAGGTAAAAGCATATAGATAAGTCACCATGTATGTGCATAACCCACAGACATCCTATTTGTTGTACAAACACCACCAACTATCGCCTCCTCCAGTATATTCCAGGTATTGAAATGCTGCCAGTCTGTTCTTTCACCGTCGTCACTGACATTAACCAGTCTTACCCAGTCCAGTTACTGTGATTGTGGCTGGCCGTGACTGAATCCTTCCAAACTGGTTCTCAGCCTCACAAATATAAGTTCCTTCATCACTGACCCACAAACCTGGGGGCGGAGGGAGGCAGAGAAGAGATCATATTGCAGCATTTAAAGTGATATTGAAAAGTCTGCAATACATGGGTACCCTATCTTTTTATCTTTCAGTTTCAAATATTCATTTTTGGCCAGATCATTCCTTTCCATCTGTCACCAAGTACAGAAGCAATAACTATATGAGCACATGAGTAAAAAAAGCATTATATACGTACATATGATAAGTTTTCATTAACTTATATATTGCATATACTTTAATATAGTATATACTAATGTGCATAAATAATATATGGCAGTACACTATATATCCACACATACATACGCTATCATGTAGTGCATTTACTGTGGAATACTGCTTACTACATACAGCAATGTGTGTCTGTATGTGAACAGACACCCACCTAGTAGTACATAACACATGAGTTACTGCACCGTACGTACAGTAGAGGGAAATTACTTCACTCAACCTGATTACGTCTAGAAAGGAATAAAAGAGCTAATTAAGAAAACAGAATAACATCACTTAGTGTATGGGCAAGTGCAATGCTCCAAGTAACTGAAATCACAAAGCCACTGGCAGAATTTCTAGTTATTACCGAAGTTAGGACTTGCCCAAAACAATGAGTTTAGAAACATTTCTCAGAAAAGAAAAGAAAAGAAAAGAAAAGAAAAGAAAAGAAAAGAAAAGAAAAGAAAAGAAAAACCACCACCAAAAAATGAAAATCCATGGCTCCTCAGTATCAACAGAGAACATAACCCATATTTATTTAAACAAAGATGTAGTAATTTCTACAAAGAAGAGTGAAGCCAATGACCAAACACAACTGAATTCACAAACTCATGCAAAAATGAACTGCATGTCAAAAGCAATGAAGTCAGTACCAGAAACACAATCTCTGACAAAAATCCAGTCTTTTTACAAAGTTAACAATTTTATAAAGTAGTATAGTAACTTAAATCCATTGCACATGTCATATTTCCTTCTGGAATCTTTTCTTTAAAAGTTCAGTCTACCTACTATTAATAGATAGAGCTCCTGTTCTGAGTTGACTGATGGAACTAACTGCGAATGGTCTTGAGAAAAGGGAAGCACCATTTAGCCGCCTCCATTTAACTTTTGGTTCTGGGTAACCCTGAACATAGCACGGCAGCGTGATGTTTGAGCCAATATCCGCAGATTCATCACTGGGTTCCTGTGTGAAAACTGGAGGAGCTGGGGGCAACAACAAAAAAAAAAAGTACACAGAAAGTGAACTGGGGTTGCAACGTGACATTAGCATTCTGCTTACACTAGTGATGACCTAAATTTATGTCCCATTATGCACAATTATTTTTCTAACAACAGAGTCCCAACTCTAGCAACAAAAGCAGCCAGCTTTGTGCAGCCAGCACACACACAGACTTGTAAGTATTTGTGAGAAAGGTTCAGACCACCATTGACCAGATACGGAAACAGTGAAATTACAGTATTTACTGTCTAGATTGCAAGCTACTTACAGCCAACATCTAGAGTTATCTTTCCAGAAGCTCTCCCTCCATCATTGGTAGCCACACAGGTATAGTCACCAGCATCCAGATCTTGTGTTTCCTGGATCTTCAGAAGACCCCGATGAGTATCAATAATGAGAAATGCTGATGCCCTCAACTCTAAGTCACCTAAGTCCAGACAGAAAAAAAAGTAACTGAAATATAACAGGGTATTTACCAAAATTATTCCAACAAAACAGTGTCCAAGTTTGGGATTAGTTCACAACGTGCCTGTATTCATTTAGCAGATGAGTACTCTGACTTCCACTCAACTGAGTGGAAAAATTCATTACTACATTAGATACAATCCCTTTTTATTTACTTGTTTCACAAGGGGAACACAAACCCAAGCAGCTTTGGACAGAGATCAGCATTAGGACAGTGTGCCAGGCTGTACTTCTCCTTCCCAAGTTAGAGACTACATGTGGTGGCCACTTGTCTGCCAGCTCTGCACCAAGTTGGGAACTGGGCGAAACCTAGAAAACAGCTCTGCTACCTCTCAAGCTCAGCAGGAGCCACAATACCAATGTGTAACACTCAGAATTGGCCCACATGTACTCTTTGGGATGAGTATCAAAGCCTGCTTTAAAATACAAGCCAACCATTAACTGCAGTGAGTTCAGAAGTAGCTGCCTTTGAGGGAAGGTTATTTGCTAACAGATCAGAACGGGGTTTGTGCTTCCCTCCAGCCACTGTCAGAGATGAAAGATTGGACTGGATAAGCTATCTGTTGGCAATATCCACCCAACAAGATTACTGGTTTTCCAGAAAATCAGCAGGCAGGTGGCTTATACAAACACACACACAGGCGCCAACTGCTTTTTCTGAGAATAGATGTTCAGTCTTGAGACATGAGATTCCCTGACTCCCATTTAACTCTATGAAAACTCCTGCAATTGTGATACCCAACATCCTGCCTCACTACTTACGAAACTGTAGCAGATACCTCCGAGATTCAGAAGGAACAAATAAAATTCCCTAGGCATTGCAAAGGAATTCCAGCAAACATCCAATGGGAAAAATAGAAAAATGTTTTGCAATTTTTGTAGTGTACAGCTCAACATTTTCTGACAAAAACAAAAGAACGTTATTCAAGTAGGCAAGAGGCTCTGCTTTTTCTTGTTAATTATGTTACAGTATGTTCATCTGTTGTATTTAAACAAGAGCAAGAATTTATGCCCTAATGGTCAAATGCCCTATCTTCTAGAGTTCGAGAATTTCACAGGTCAGTCACCGGTTGAATACTACATAAAGCTTTTGAGAAAATGAAGTCACTTCAGGATGACTGCTCTAAATACTACTGCTAAAGTAAATAAATCAAACACAAAGTAGTAAGTGCACCTTTGAACCATTTAACTTGGGGATGTGGGATTCCAGTTGTTTTACACTCCATAACAGTTGTGTCTCCAAGAGCAACCAGAATTTCACTTTGAACTATGGTCAATGTTGGACCCTCTAAAAAGAAACAATATAGAAAAAAATGAGTTCCTCATCCAAAGCATATACCATTTTTAAGATATAAACCACAAAATACTCTAATTTTCTCTTGTTATACGGAAGAATATTTGCATTAGAAGTCAGAAAGCCTTAAAAATCATGTAAGGTGACAGACAAACACTGGGAAACGGAAAAAGTAGAGTCTGGAATGTCCAGAGCACCTGGATCATACGTAGAATATGTGGGAATTTAAGGAAAGAATTGGAGGAGTTTGATCATGTAGAAAATAAAAAGATTCAGAGTTTCTATCCCGCTCCAGCCAGATGTTGGTCATCAAGAATTTTAGTAGTCTGCTATTAATATAATAACGTAGTGTTTACAGTACGCAATTTGGACTAGGACTCCACAGTGCTAAGCACGCTACAAGAATTTACAGAAACATGATTCCTTCTCCAAAGACCTCCTCAGGTTTGCAAGCCTACTCCACTTTAATACCCAAGTTTAGGGTGGTTTTTTTCTTAAAAACAGCGTAAGAAGAAACATTAAGCCCCAAATACCACCTAACAATACTACTCAGAGATTTGAACAGAAAACAAAAGGGACATTTATGAGCTGTTCAACATCTTTTCTGAGTTTTTTGAAATTTCTACTAGTATGTTCTGCATAGTTCTACTAATTTTAACAGTTCCTCCCTGATGATGTATTAGTTTGCTTTTTTAATTTCACCACATTGTTTCTTTTACTTACCAATGTATGTAAGGGTGGATGTCTGTTTCTCTGTCCCAGCTGAGTTACTTGCCAAGCAACCATAAATTCCTGCATCTTTTGGAATTGCCTTTCTTATGATTAAGGTGCCTTCTGGGGTCAATCTATACCTGGGAACACACAGGGGACCAACCAACATGATTAGTTAAAGAAAAGAGAGTAATGGTTACATCCACACTCCAAGCAGCACCATGACCAGATGGTTTATAAACAGGCATTGCTGTTTTTTTCTCATGATAAGCAACAATATTAGTATTATTATATCTACCAGAGAATATCAATGCATTTTGTGAAAAGCGTTTAAATTAATCTTGTAAAAAGCCTTCTGAAGAAGAGAACCAAAGCATTTCTATTTTAGAGATGAAGAAATTGAAATTAAAGAGTTATAAAAGTGACGGTTGAGGTTCTATTTCCAAAACTCACAGACTCCTGTGGAAGAAACAGTCCAAATATTTTGGCATTCTTCAAAACTTCTTTCTCACATAGGAAAAGAAATAAAAGTAAATAGAGAAAGCTATAACCCCTACCTGCTTGAACCAATAATAAACATATCGTTGTGTGTCCATACTACTGTTGGCTTTGGATAACCAGTTGCAGAACACCTGATAGACACTTCGGAGCCTTCTGTAAAAGTCTGATTCTTAGGTGAAATGACAACCCTAGGTGGTTCTAGTAAAAGAAATTAAAAACAGCAATTAAAAAGATCAATTTAGAAAACACTTACAGATGATAATCACCACTTTATTCCCATTTTCAAACAGCTGTATAGTGAGAAACAGTCCTAATAAAGGTCACATGAATGCTTTCCTATAGCTGCTTCAATTTAACACAGATAATGACCATCAGACACACATGAATTGCATCGTAAGGTCAGTGACTGCACTAAAATATAGTCAGTCTGGTGACAACACGTTCTTTAAAGTCTCTTTTACTTATAACATTATTCAAAGAGTTTCTATTTCTTGAATTAGCTATCCTTTCTCAGAGCCCACTCGTTTCCTCACCTCCTCTAGCACGGTCTACCAATTCCTCAGCATAAAACATGCGTGCCTTTATAAAAGTTAGGAAGTCAGGATTCAGGGTACAGAGACCAAATTAATTCACGTGCCTACACAGTTTGCTTTGTTCTGAGATGCAGAATTTGGAGCTCCCAAATGTGGGCACCAATTCTGACAAAAAGCTGCCAGAACCAAGCAAAGTTCACCAACACGATCCATCAAGGTCAGGCTGAAATAAGAGTAAGTAGTGCCAGGTCATCATTTTGAATAGAAACTATGAAAGCATTAGTGGTTACGCATGGATTCAACTCAAATGCAAAAATTATGTAATAACTAACTTAGAATTTTTAATGCATGCTTAAAACTCAGCAAGGCAGCAACAGAGACAATTTTGACAAATTTGAGTCAAATTTGTGCAGACTCCTGAAAATGAAAGCCAACGAGCACAAGCCTTCTGGCAGGCCAACAGTAAGAATATAACCTCAATGATGAAAATAGAAGTCACGATGTACGTGCACACACAGAGAAAGAAATTAACAGCAAAATCATGTTGAAGACAATTGAATTTGCAGTGTTAACAATGCCAATGGATTGTATGGATATCAGCTGCATTTTCACCAGAAAAGTGATTGGTGAACTTCACAGAACTCCTTCACTTACATCCTTAGACAGATTTCCTCAGTAAAAAAGACCACCAAAATAATTCACTGTGGCAACTGACATTTTCTTCTATAGTACGTAAGATTTTGTCTTACTTACAGGGGCAAGAAAAAGATCCACACCACTTAATGGATGAAAAAGTAACAACTTGTAGTACTAACTGCTGCTACTTCATATTAGTTAGGACACAAAACTGGCTGCTATTAGATCAGTAGTATCAATCTTCATCTTAGGAGCTTTGCCTTTTGCTAATCACACACTGTATTAACATGTATTCCTCTGCAGCCGATCTTTTTACTAGCAACCACAGAATGAAAAGCCTAAGCCTAACGCTCCCTTTTGGGAGAGTAAAAGAGGCTAAATACATGTTACACAGAGGTATCTTGAATCTCGGGCTGCTCTGCATAGCTCTTTTTTATTAGCTTCAGTGGGAATTACACCATCCCATAGACTCAGGTGACATTTGGAATGTTTTCATGGCTGCTAAGGAAAAATGTGGCTAAGAGCCAGTACACACAGTCTATGTATGTGTGGCATAATCCATCAAGAGCAAGATGAAGGTGCGATGCTATGCAGCTTCCAGGTGAACAGCATAAATATTTCTAGTTCAGTGTATCATAATGCAAACAGAAACAATTCACAGTGCTACTACAAATGCCTTTCTGGAAGAATTAATACCATGCCCTTTTCACTATCATTGCGGGGAGGAAGATTATTTTCTAAATTCTGTGTTGTAATACCATTTGCCTAAAAAGCTGCTAACTAAAAACCACAGTGTTTCTGGCCTGGAGGAAGAATCTCCCTGCAGAAGATTGTGCTTCTTCTAGGACAGAAGAGAGGCAGGTTCTGCCTCCTTGCAGGGCAGAAATGCTCTGGATTTTAGTCGGCAACTTTTTAAGCAAATGGCATTACAACACAGAACTTGGAAAACAATCTTCCTCCCCGTAATCTCAGCAGACTTAACGAGAGGGAATTAGTGACTGATAGAAAACCTGAGATAATGAGAAATTAAATGGTTTTCAAATGCTCAAACATCAAATTAACAGCACAGATAAGAACAGCAGGAGATCTCTTCACCTTTTACGTGGAAGGGTTTATCAAGAGTAGCATAGGTTTGGGAAATAACAGGCTGGCAAGTCTATAGATATCATCAATCAAGTCACACCCTGCTAACTTTAACAAGGTGTCTGTGCCTCTGCAGGTCCAACTTCACTTCATAATATGGACTAATTACATCCCATTACAGCTGTAAGGCAGGGGAGTACATGACTGTCCCATCGATATCAGACGTTTTACTGTTTGCCACAATCACCGTTACTATAGAATGGTTTGGCCTGTAATACATCTTACTGAATAGGAGAGCAAGGCTCCCAAGGAAAACAGAAGTAGTTTTGAAATATAATTAGTAGTAACATTAGCATGCAAGTCATGGACATAACTTTGATTTAACTTTTTAGTATACTTTTATTTAAAATACTTGCACTGTTTTGTGTTTGAGTTTCATGAGCGATTCACATATGTTAGTGTTTCATGCAAACTTATCTGCACGCCCCTATTAAGCACATAAAACTCTTTTTTTCAAAGAGAAACGTAATTGCTGTTTTAAGGAAGGCTTTTTGATGCAGTACGCACCTGGTGCTCTGGGGAGCAGAACTATTATTCCCAGGACTTGATGACTCTGTTTTCAGTCATTAACTAGATATGTGAGCTTGTAAAGGATTCTGAGATCCGTAAGTAAAAGTGTATGCAAAACCACACAGCTATACTGCCAAAGACAAGGAATAAATTAAATAATAAACAGCAACTAATTTGCACACAGTTGCAAAACTGTAAACACAGATGCATGTAATGCCTTACCATTTCCTTTCTTAAATTTATGTCCATTAACCTTCCCCAAGTTCCCTAGTTTCTCACTTGTAGAGTACATTTAATAAAAAGCTGCAGGGTCCTGAAAAGTCCTTCCCATGTTTCATAACAGCTCTGAAATCTCTGAGCTCCCTGAGGAAAGGCACCAGAGGAAGGCAGAGCCATAGTTCCAGAAGTACTAGGATTAAATCCAGATACGAGGGGGCAGGGAGAGGCAAGAAATGGATGCAAGTTACAGAACTGTCCTCAAGTGATTCATGATGTGCACAGCTTTCTCAGCTATTTTTATTTTGTTTTAAATCCTGCCAAGAGACACTGGGAGATATTCTGCATGCTCTGGTCTTCAGGAAGGTCTCCTCTTATGTTGATATTAGGAAACTGTTCGTCTCAGATGGCAATTACACATCGTGCTTTGGCAACACACCACTGCCCATGCAATTATTTTCACACAATGATATTATCAGGTAAGCAGAAAAAGATGGAAGAAATATTTGTATTTAACATTGATTCGATGAAATGAATTGAAAAAAGTCAATATACACAGCTGTAATTCTAGCTGATAGCTTGAGTATCAGTAAGGCCACATTCGCCACTAATAACTATCTCATTTTCTTGCTCAATGAGACAGGCACGCAGAACGGGCTTTCTTGTATGACAGGTTAATTTGATTTCTTTTGCTTTGTTCTTTGTATATTAGGGAGGAGATTTGTACGTGGGCAGCAGGAGCACGAGCTCCTTACAGTGCCAATCCCATTCAAGGCTGTAGAATAAAACCTTTTAAACAACATAGATCATGTGTAAAGCTTCTGAAGAGAAAGAAGGTTGGTGCGAAGATTTCAGGGTGTGAAGCACTCACACTTGTAACCATCCTTGGCCCTAATATTCATTAAAACCATCTGAAGCAGTTAAACTTAGCATGAAAAAGGGTCAGCAAATACCAAATTTTTATTTCATACAGCATAAAAAACTCTTATCACCCTTTATTAGTAAAAAAACAAACATTGCCAATGTTTTTTCACTACTTTTTGCATGCTTTTTTTTCCTTTTTTAACAAAAACTTTTCCCCAAAAGCCACCCTGCTTGATGTTTGACTGAACTGTGTATCAATATTTTTGTGCAGCACCCTCAAGATTCTTTCTTGCCTTTTACACTAAGTGCATTTTTGGAAAACTGAATGTTTCAACCTATTCACCTGATAAGTAACGCATTAACAAGGCTAAATAAGAACAACAATTAAAATCTATCTAGATCAAAAAAACCACTATATTCCACCACTGCAGCAGTTTGCACATGCTTGTTGCAAATTTTTACAAGGGTTTGATTTTTGTAAAATTTCACTTCGAGACCTTACAGTAAACATCCAGACCCTCCTACATACACACAGGTACTGGCAGAGAATATATGGAGCCCCATCCCTCTATCCAGTCTAGCAGTTCTCTGTTGTTACAACTCATTCTTGTTAGCATCAATTAAAAGGGTCTGAATTGACCTTCTTGGGCTTCTAACTACCAAGATATTGCAAGAGCAGATGCTTATCAACAAAGCCCTGCCTTTATTAATACAGGAATTGTAGCGATGGTGTGAAAAATTAATTCTCTTCAGGCTGAAGTCCTGCGTGACCACAGTGAATGTCTACAAATTCTTGTGTTACTGCAAGTTTTATGGACATGCCTTAGTTTTTCCATGTGGAAACATATAAATGGAAGTAAATGGCTTTGATCTCAAACTGTCTAAAAATCTACGTTATGTTAGTGTCAAGAGTGCACACTGAGAAGGCGCAGGGGGGAAAAAATATCCAACTCTACTATTATTATAGCTATTAACATATGTCAGTAAGTGAGACAGAAGACTGGGGTTATGCAGATACTGAAGAATTCCTCCCAGAGCGTAGATTTCCACTTTGATGTCAGATCAGGCACAGAATTCACGTTATATCCTATGTTATGAAATAATAACACAAATACACATACCATGTCACTACATTCGCAGAAGGAATCCTCTCCATTCATCTGATTTCTATTAAGTTTAAATCACGTTTTAGCAATATGCATTGGAATTAATATTCAATTCAATTTTATACTTTTGTTCACGAGCCAAATGAAAGAAGTGTAGAAGAAAAATTGCACATAAACAGAAAAACTGACA